GTGCCTACATCGGCGGCCGTCCTGTGGTCCGCGTCGGCTGCCTCATGCCTGGCTTCCGCCGCAGCCGTGTCCTCCACTTCCTGAGAGGACGGCTCGTCTTCCGGCACCGCTGCTGCGTTCTCCGCTTCCTGAGAGGACGGCTTGTCCTCCGGCGCTGCGCTGCCGTCTCCCACCTCCGGAGAAGTCGGTTCATCCTCCGGTGCCGCAGCGCCGTCTCCCACCTCCGAAGAGGTCGGTTCATCCTCCGGTGCCGCAGCGCCGTCTTCCACCTCCGGAGGGGACGGCTCGTCCTCAGGCGCCACAGCGCCGTCTCCCACCTCCGGAGAAGTCAGTTCATCCTCCGCTGCCGCAGCGCCGTCTCCCACCTCCGGAGGGAACGGCTCGTCCTTCGGTGCCGCAGTGCCGTCTCCCTCCTCCGGAGAGGACGGCTCGTTCTCCGGTGTCGCAGCGCCGTCTCCTGGCTCCAGAGAGGACAGCTCGTCCTCCGGCACCGCTGCCGCGTCTCCCGCCTCCAGAGAGGACGGCTCGCCCTCCGGCGCCTCAGCGCCGTCTGCCACTTTCGGAGAGGTCGGTTCATCCTTCGGTGCTGCAGCGCGTTCTCCCACCTCTGGAGGGGACGGCTCGTCCTCAGGCGCCGCAGCGCCGTCTCCTGCCTCCAGAGAGGACGGCTCGCCCTCCGGTACCGCTGCCGTGTCTCCTGGCTCCAGAGAGGACGGCTCGCCCTCCGGTACCGCAGCGCCGTCTCCCACCTCCGGAGAGGACGGCTCGCCCCCCGTCGCCGCAGCGCCGTCTCCCACCTCCTCTGGAGAGGACAGCTCGTCCTTTACTGACGTTACGGATGCTTCCTGTTGTTCTGACATGTTGCCTCTGCGATGGAGATAGGTATAAAACTTTTGTTGTTGTGGATAGGTGCCCAGGTCGTGCTGTATCACGTGCCGGGAAATGTGCGCAAAACAAGCGGGAGGGAAATGGCGGCATAAACCGTTGTCTAAGGCCCCGGAAGCAGCAATTTGTTGAAGATGCACAAAATTGGCAAGACGTGCAAGTCATGTAGAGTGCTTTGTGAGAACTCGTTCGCACCAGCGACAATAACGAGCATCTGAGCTTGTCACAAATGCATCAAATAACGTCTCGCAGTTCATATTCTCGTTTTAAAGGCATTATACATGTTTCTGTCCTCAATTATCAAGCAGAGTTGTATATATTTTTCGGTTGCAAACAATTCGAGTGGTATTGCCGCCATTTATGACTTCCGTTTTTTTGTTATTTCTTAACGTCGGAGAGCAAGCATTTTTCAATACTTGTCGAAGAAAGTGAGTATTAAATCAAGGTTATTGCCCAATACTATATGACGAACCACTTGACGTCGTCATCAGTTTGAAGCAACTTAGGTATTCTACATACACAGAGATCTAATGTGATGACAACATGAAGCATTAATACAATAGTAACACAACGCTTTGTATTATTAACGCCCCAAATAAGCTTTTTGAGTCGCCAACTTAGAGATGGACAACATTACGTCCGCTTATTCTGCGAAAAGTGCGCAGTGGAATCACCACGCATTTAGATGGTTTCATCTACATCTTGCATACGAAGCCGCTTCCGGACATTTAACGCCACCATGAAACTTTGACCACCTTGATCTTGATCTACCTGCTCCTGGAACTAGTTCAGTTTGGATGAAATACGTACGATCCCTTTAAGGCAGTAACATCCACCAATGCACCAAATTGTACCTGCGTTTCTGACAACAGGCAAGTGCAATATAAACCAATCTCACGTACCTTGCTCGGGGTGTCGACTAATCCTTGGGCTAATCACAGCTAGCCCGCGGTGTGCCGTCTTGACCTCGAAGACTCCCACATTCGCGATTTACTTTATACCAAGGGGAATGCAGATGTCAAACCTCCTCATAGTTATAGACGAAACAACGTCCTTTTACAGTCGCAGACAAAGACGCTTTTCAAAGACCTTCAATCAGTCACACAAAGAGTTTACTTCCACGTTTCCCTCGAAAGGCTTCTATGCATTGCATGTTCGGTCTTACATTCACTTTGAATCATCGATTACACGGCAGTCGTCCCGATCGACGCTGTTTCCATGGTAACGGTCGGCAGCACCGACCACTACCGGATGGGGGGATTCGATCGATAATATGCCTTTACACAGAACATATTTCAACCGCATTTAGTTGTAAATCATCCTGCACAACTCACTCATATATGGCAAGAACAAGCGCCAAGATATCCAAACGTCGCAAGAGTTGCAGCCATGTCTTCCGAATCACAGCTACTACAGCAATCAACAGGCCGTGGAATGCCATCTCGTGCACCATATTTTTGTGGGCTATAAAACTGGTTATTCTATATACCAAACACTCCTGTCAGAGGGCTCATGGGAAGGGCCTTTGAAAATCGCGTTTGACTGTGATTGGTGCCAATCATAGAGACGCTCTATATGGATGTGAACGCTGAAAGACGTCGAACGCACCCGACAGCATCACCTTACGCCAATGATCGAAACATCCCTTGAACATCTTGCATAGTCAAGCAAATGAGCTGTTACGTCTGAAAGTGTACTTAATGTAACCAATTGATCATAACGTCACATTTCATCATGCTTCTAGGTTGCATCATTGTCGGTCTTGCATCCACTTTCATCTTTCCTTTGACTCTGTTGGACCGGGATGTTAGTCGGTAGGAAATTAGTGAAATGTATTTCGATGTACTGGAAATGTTCAGGCTGACAGAGGTATGTGTGCATGAGCATCCGTTTATTTTTCAAGACGCCGAAACACATGTCAAGGATGAGTTTAATGTGTATTTCGAATTAAGAGTAAGGCTCGCATTTCATAGCAACAATTTATGCAGTCTATCTGCCTTTTACACACGGATGTTTATCGTTTGCAAGGGCGGATCCAAGAAGGGGAGGGGCAACTGGTCCACGGTCCCCAAGATCACCAAGATCGACCAAAAATGGCATGTTTCCGGCATTTCAAGTAAGCCTTAACAGTTTTTTTCAGAGATGGTTGTGTTAAAACACTTCTTGCACTAACATAAAAATCGAAATCCGGTAAGTGCTTCAACAAGACGACTTTTAGAACTTGACCTTACAAGTCGACGTTAGACCCCGAGACAACGGTCTGGATCCTCCCATGATCGCTTGCATTGTCAAAACAAGCACAAATAATTTAAACAATATCCTTCAGCGTGATCAGAATTCATGCAAATATATGATTTGCGCTTTTACAAAAAGCATGACAAAAATGCGGCGCAAGTACATCTGACGGCTACCGCTCTTATCAGACAGCTCATCGCCATCAAGCACTCAACGTGTTATCCTGGGGATGAAATCGGTGTTGTCGCATGCGGTCCGTGAACAACGCAATCAAATTACATTAAACATGAAAGACGGGCGCTTCAAAAGCCCTCCAGCGATCCGGCAGAGGGCGTCGATTATGATATGTCCGTACAAATCAGCTAGTAAATGCATATGAGAAAGGCTAGATTACACAAACCGTGTCGAAGGCTGTCATGTCGCACCCACACACCACCTGGCGTGCGACACAGAAAACTGAACTTACAGTTGAGCAGGAGCGCCGCGGGTCGCCGTTGCGAGCGCCGCGTCACCACAGTCACACCGAGCCAGTGCGCCAAAGCCGCTTCTCACCGCACGTGGGCACCGCTTCACACCGGAGCCGTCCGGTCCGCGTCGCCCGGCGACCATTGGCTCGACGCGACGCGTCGCAGCCCGCATTCGCACCAGCACGAGCGCCATGATCCGGGTGGCGACGGCGCAGCGGGCGTCCGAAGCCCGCGGTAGATCCGCCCCACGGCTGTAGCCACCGGGCGGGCGCCGCTTCGACAGCGTAACAAGCGCTCCTCACATCATCGCCCGTCGCCCGGCGCCCGTCCTCTGTGCGCAAAGGTCCTTCAGGTACGCACTCCAATGACCGGCGTTTCGTCTGTGTCGCTATGATGTGTGAACTGCATGGTTGTGATCGGCGGGATTGGTAACCCAGTTATGCGTGGTCGTGGACGCTAGTCAACGGTGTCACAAACAAGTGGAGCGCTGGGCCCATGACCGCAAATGGGTTCTTGATATGTTCGATTGGGGCCAGGACCGAATGTGCCTGTGCGTGCTCGCATGGGCCGCCTCATGAGTCCCCGTCACTGGCTCAACTCTCACGGACTGCTGCAGGAATCCCGTCGTTGCGCGTGCTCGCCCAGCCCTCCGAGTCACTGTATGTACTCGCACGGGTCGCTGCAGGAGTGCGTGAGCGTGCGTCCGCTGGCGGTGAGCAGCGCCGAGCGTTCGCCGGGCTCGACGGCTGCCTCATCCGAGCTGGTGCTGCCGCCGGCGGTCAGCGGACGCGGCTTGCGCAGGCGGCGCAGCGAGCGCAGCTGGGTGGCCAGCGTGCGGAACCGGCCGCCGCGCCGGCCACCACTCGGGCCCGCCCCGGAGCCGTCCGCGACCGTCTGAAAACGGGCGCGCAGCTCAGCGACCACCGGGAAGGCTCAGCGGGCGCCGAGGACAGTCTGATTCACGCTCAAACCCGGGTAACGCTGAACAACGTGACAATGCGTGCGCTGGTGGCCATGGCAACCTCGTCGGCTGGAACATGCATTACCGTTTGATGATCGACGAGCGGACGAGAACCGACCAGCCAGAGAACTGCGTGTGCGTTACAATGTTCGAGAGTCGGCGGAACCCAGGATGCATTATACTATGAAGCGACCACACACAGACTGCGCTTCTTATTTGGCCATAGAGTCGTTCAGGAGTGCGGGGATCCAGGAGTCGCCGAGCCTGAGCGTCGGCGTCGGCTGAGCAGACCGTCCGAACTGGTGCTCACCTGGTCGTCGCTCGTGTCCAGCGAGCCCTGTCTCCTGATCCGGCGCCTGTGGCGGCGCCCGCTGCTGGCGCTCCTGGTGCTGCTGATCTCGCTCTCGGACGACTCCTGGTACAGCTCGTGGCAGTCGCCCACTGGGGCCGATCTGGTGGAAGTCACGCGGTCAGCGTGTGGTCCGCCACCGGGGGAAGGGGGGAGGGGAAGACGGAAACGACACGTCCCCCTGCCGCGACATATGTGATTACGCCATGAGTTTGCACGAAAAGAATCGACTTGAAACACGACGTCCCCCATCCAACCTTTAAAGGAAGTGTTCCAGGTTAATATAGCGAGTTGAACTGATGTAATCATCTTGAAGACCTTTAGGTGTTGTTCACAACCCTAGTTCCTGAACTTAACATCCGCAGAAATGGGGGGGGGGGGGGTGGTGGCAATATTTCGGGGGGTGTATTTCAAAGTCACCTCGGCATTAGTAACGTCACAATGACGTCATTCAAATCTTGCCATTCCATAACCTATGCGACTATCAGCGCCAACAAAAATAGAATTGCCGAAGCGTTCATATCTGGCGTTTGTGAGCACGTTTTCAAGATACAACGGCCGTCAAATGGCTCCCAATCAATGTTGTGCAAGGTCTGATGACGTAATCAAACCATGACGCGCTTTGGAGCATGTTTACTAAACAGACAACTGTGCTGTCCCGAGTAGTCTTCCACTTAAAAAATACTAATAGTTATGAGTGGGCTTGTTTCATCATAGCTTATGCTTGCTTCAGTATCTTCAAAAAGCGAAACATTCCCTTTAAGCTGTGGCGGGGTCTATACGGCCAGTATGGGCCGTATAGTGTGCAATGTGCAGTTCCTGGAAGCTCGTGGTGCTTATCAAACTACGCGGCAAACGCTTTCACCACATTGTTCGATCCTCTCATAACTGCTACAGGTGAATCTGATCGGAGAAGCAGTTACATGGTGTCCAGCTCATTAAATGTTAAATGCAACCAGCAAAGTTCTATCCTACCGGTGCATTCCGCTGAATCGCTGCCGAACGTCATAACACCGCTCGACCTCAACAACGCTAGAGCTGTGTGCAGGTAACGGCACATTCTTTACGAATAGCAAGCTTACAGGGCTCACAGCTTGCACCAAAATAAACGGGGGGCATTGGTAACGAGGTGTGCAGCAATGTCAGGCAAAACAGCCCGACGAAAGGCGAGCGTCCATTCCAGTCACGTGGGCTGAGGCACGCTGACGTCATACTGCCCCTCGTGCCTCTGTCTATGTCCTGACCTCCCCTACGTCCGGTAGGTGATCCATACGCCCACAGGGCACGCTAAACACTGGCTCCACGCGTCCAAACGCGCTACAGTTGTGCTTGAGGGCCAACCAGAGGAAGAGCTGCAGCTATGTCGCTTGCTGTATCCCGGACGACGCGCTCGTCTTGACGTTGCACTCACACCCTTGCTGGCTGAAACTTCCGAGTCGGCTCCCAGCGCGGCGTGACTTTTACTGGATCTACATCACCACTGGATCTGCACCATCTGGATCTGCACTTTTACCGGATCTGCATCTACCAGCGCCGTGATGCGTCAGGCAGCCGTGGCAGTTACGTGCATCGAGAAAAAACGATCTAAAGGATACATAAAATGCTCATCTGCAAAGGTCTACAGTCGCACCCACCTACGTTCGGCGAGCTGCCGCGGTCACCACTAGATGTCGGCATTGGCCCAATACGCCAGTCCTAACCGGCTGTAATCGGGCATGGCGTCGTGCGGTGGGTTGACACAGCTGTCATACATCAAACTGGCGAGTTTCCGCGGTCACCCCTAGATGTCAGCATTGGCCCAATATGCCAGTCCTGACCAGCTTTATTCAGGCATGGCATCGTGCGGTGGGTTAGCACGGCTGTCATACATCAAACTGACACATGGGCGTTGGAACAGGGGGAGGGCATGGCCCCGTACTTTTCAAGATGTGGGGGGACAGCAGTGTTAACTGCCCCCCCCCCCCACACACTTTTCAGATTAAGGTTGCATTTGGCTTACTTTGGTACTACATTTAACATGCATGCCGATTTACCTAGTTCACTATCTCCCTTAAGATGCATCACCTTTTTTCGTTTGCTCATCGGCCATCACTTAGTGTTACAGACGCAAGGCCGACGCCGCACGGCCCGGAGACTGCAACGCCGGGCGTCGAGGCTGTTCTTGCAGCATCTTGCGAGTGCGCGTGTTCAACACCATATTACGTAGTTCTCTTGTCAGCAATCAGCTCTGACAGGATCTTTAACATTTTAAGACGAACATGGGTTAGCCATGTTAATGCTAATTAGGAACCCCATTTCATCTACAATCTACAGTCAGGGACAACTCAATATCTCTGAAGAACACAGAAAAAAACACGGAACTGGAGTCTATGTGACAACCATCGAACTACCTGCGGTGATCAGGGATGTTGTTGGGTCGGTGAAGGTTCCTGTGCTGATCCGGGGCTAACTTTGCGGGTCAGAAGGCCTCCCGTGTCCGGAATGGGAACAATGTGATATGATATATCCTTTTAATGGTCTCCGGATCGACCAGGAGATCCCGCCCCGCGTCACCAGAATGATAGCCAGAAGACACTTCGCGATGGAACTGAATGGCCCTTCAGCCCTTGACCGGAAACGGTAATGTACCTCTGGTGTTCTACTCAAGAGGAAATCTACTTGCATGGAAGGAAATAAGAGAACTTATTATTGTTGAGTAAATGGATGTCTCATTATTGTTGAATAGGGTAGGTCGAAATGAATTTAAAAAACGAGCAATGTCATGCCGTGTTTGCCTGAGGACATTCATTTTTTAGAATGTATTACTGAAACAAATTACCTCAAAAGCCTTGAACATGCCCAACCGCATCCTGGAGAGCAAGGACAAGGGTGGTCTGGGTTGCGACTTCCGTAAAACCGAAAAGTTTCGGCCACTGCAAGTGCCACCAGACAGCGGGCGCCGTGTTAATCGGTCTTCTGGATAGATAAATAGCTGCAAAAACACGCAAAATAGAGATTTCACCTTCACTCTTCCAGTTCAACCACCACATTCCAGCCCCACTTCGCGGTGCTTTAAGGGCCAACCCGTTCTTTTCATCAGTCAAAAAACTGCTTACGTGAAATAAGCGCTCAGACCTGCCTTCTAAATGTAAGATCTGATGTTATGAAGCGTTCAAGGATAATTTGTCCAGGAGCGCGGTCATTTCCGTCCACCCGTTGGCCACAACTCTAAGATTTTCGAGCGCGCATGCTCAAAATTACGTCACATAACTTGTATTACTAATCGACTAAAGTGTTTAAAGGTAATCACTTCAGAAGCGTCACTATTTTCGTCCATCGGCGGGCCACGGCTAAATATTAGCTACCGGGCTAACGCTCCGCGGACTATGGAGACTGCAACGCCTGGTGTCGAGTATTTGTTGCTAAGATTTGCGAGCGCGCATGTTCAAAAACACGTTACATAAATTATATTACCAATCGATTCTGACTGCATGGTGAACATTTTCAGACAGACATGGCTTGGCCATGTTAATACACATTGTTGACCACTCGATCTGCAATCAAATTTTCATCTTCAAAATTGGATCAAACATATCGATCTACAATCTACCTTCGCGATGTCCTCAATGTCTGCAGAACCTAGATACAAAATAGTTGACAGATTCTGAATTCTATCGATTTAGAAAGAGTTGACTAAACGTTGTAAATTAAGAGCCTTGGTGATTTATTCCATGTAGTCTTTGAACGCCTGATTTCTGCAGTTTATTTACCTCAAAATACAAACAGTTGAGCTCACGGTAGCTCCTGGTTTCTGTCCTGGTTACGAGGTAAAAATAACAGCAAAACAAAGAAAACCGTGTCGGGGGGGATCACCATAAAGTGGGCTTTTGTCAACCTTGTGATCGCTCTTGGCAAGGCTCTGGCTACGCACCTGCCTACACACAAAAGCAGATCGAGCTGTAAACATTGCATGATGAAAATCAAGTGGCCGTTGGGCCAATTCGCACATAAGGCAGGGAGCTTTCCGGAGGCTATGTTTCTGCGATGGTGTGGTGTTAGGGAAGATAATTCGGAAAAAAGATGCTGCTGTAGGTGTCCAACGCGTGTGTCGTACACCATACAGTAGTAACGCTGGTACAAAAGTATGCAGCAAAGCAACCGCACGATCAGTTCGCAGTCAGTCATGCGGGAGACATCCGGGCCAGGGCAGTGGCCACCGACGGCGGACAGGAGCAGGGTCCTGATAATGAACGTATGGCACGTGGGCCTCATTATGTGGTTGATTCGTAAAACAGAATCTCCAGTTTTATGGTTTTTGTCACACTGTTTCTAGCAGTTTCAAGCTCCCGAATTTGTTTCCGCCTAAAATGCTGTGACAAGTCTTATCTCTTTAAAAGCAGCCAGCGAAATAAAGGCGCATGAAAATCTGTCGCACTGTGAGCCATCGATCCATTTTCAAAATTCTCACCAGCCTATATCCAGGCCGTATTTTGGCATCTACACTGTGGAGGCAGATGCTTCCTCAATGACCCAAAATGCATACCCGCTCATGGAGTTTGGTCTCCCCAGGAAAGACAATGTTAAAATGGACGGATAATATTGGGAAGATGGATAGCCTTATGTGTCGGATGACAGATGAGTCGAATAGGCGAGATTGTGCCGCAGTAAGGAACAGCTCTACAGCCATGACATTTGAATAAAAAGCGATAACAACCTCCATCCCTCCCCCTCCCCGGTCATCGGGCTCGCTTTCCAGAGAAAGCTCCTGAAGTACAACCTGAGCTTGCCCCCCTCCCCCTCCCACTTTTTGAAACGTTCCTACGCCTCTGAACTGACATGCATTACCCTTGGCTCAAGCTTCAGTAAGCGTACATGCAATACATTGGCGTAATAAAAGCAGCTCGTTTATGTAACAGTTAGCTTCTGTGTCACCGTAAGTTTGGCTTGGCTCGCGCCTGTATTGCTAGGAGCGAGGTCGAGGTCGAGGTCGAGGTCGGTCGAGCGAATCTTACTCGAGCTATCATCCAATTTTGTATTTGAACGACCTGGCCAGGCCTGGCCCGGTTGTAACACCGTTGAAAAGTCAATACATCCTTCCGAGCACTGATTGCAAGGTCATTGCAA